GAATTAAGAAAAACGAGAAAAGAAATGAATTGTAGAAGATCTAGAAAGACTTTTGTTTTTTGTTTTTTGAAAAGCTTGAGAGAACAGGAATTCTAAGGATTCGCAAAGCGATTACTCTGCAAAAAAAAATTATGGCAGGAATCGAAGCCATGTTGCTTGACCAAAAGAACCACCTCACAATTTTATTACCCCTTTCCTCTAAAATTAATAGCGACTATTATCATTAAAGGACACAATTATTTTTTATTTTTTATTAGAGATAATTTAGCCGATTTTAGGAAATACAAAGCATATTATCATTTTTTCTGTCCTCTTCTTCCCACATTTTTTAGAATCGTTTTTGAAATTTTTTAATTATTTCTGGAAAAAATATATCCAAATTATTATTATTCATCCAAAAAAAATGTTTCATTATTAAATTTCAAATTGAAGCTTGCTGATTGCTTGATGGTAGTTCAAATTTAAATTAAATTGGAAAAATTTTAAAAACATTTTCGTTGCGTTTCGCTTATGTTTCGTTCTCGGCTATGCAATTTCGCTCTTCCAGAATTTGTAGTTTATTTAATTGATCTAATTTATTTCTTTAATTCGATTACAGCAAAAAGCAATGACAAATTTAAAAAATCAATATTAACAATAAAAAAATATATTTTCATGATAAAAGAACCTCAAGCCATACAATTATCCTTTAAGACTGGAATAGGATAACTGGGCGGATAATGATGTAGATTATAGGTAAGGATTTTCGCTCGTATCCTCGATATGCATAAACACTCCTATCTCCAAATGACTCACTGACAAAAATTTCTAACCATACTAACGAAGTAAAGCGAATCTAACGAGGAATGGTGATGCTAACCATTTACCTATTATTCTTCAAAATTTTGTAAAGAAATGCCTTTATTTCGATTCATTAAATATTATTATTCTAATATTTTATTACTATTTTAATATTGTTTCAACTATTTTTGTGATTTAATTCTTCTTCTATTGTTTTATTATAATTTTATTTTAACTATTTTATTATGATATTTTTCTACCACATAATAACGTATTAAGTCATTGGCAATCACAATTTTCAGTTAAGCTTTTAAATAAGAGGACCCAATTTTGCCAGAGGTCGCATGGAAATCGAGGAAAGAGATGGTCCTCAGAAACATCAGGATTTCTCAGGAAGCCTGACTATATAATCTAATTTTACTGACTGCCCTTGGATTTTTAAAATTAAAATTTCATATTTAGTATGCTCTTACAATTTAATGGCCTCTCCTACTTCAATTCGTTTTAAATCCCAGATGAAAAATTTTTACGTTTGGCAACATTTCACTCACACTGCTGCTGTCCTGTGCCACTTTCTTTTCAAATTTGTTTGTGGCTAAAGGCTTCTTTGCAGATTCTTTGACAAAATCGATTTTTATTTTAAGTTTAAGTAAAAAAATGCTCATTTCACAACTGTAATATTCGTTATATTTTGCAGATTTTTAATGCAATTTTCACTGGGTTCGAAATCGTTTTATTCTACAAATTTTTTGCTTTCAATGACAAAGAATTTCCGTTATATATTTTGTGAATTCTTCATATTCAACCTCTTATAGATTAATTTGAGGAAGGTCGGAGTTACTGAGTGAATTGCTGCTTAGATCATCATTTAAATCATCATGATTCGCTTCCTATATTCAGCAAAAGAAAGCCTGACATTAGGAAATACCAATGGTTCTAAGAACTGTATTTCTATATGATGATTCTCGGCCAAAATTTTCTCATTCTACTAACAATGCAGCAAACTTAAGCGAAAATAATGAACGCTAACAGCTTACTTTTTTTATTAATAAATACAAACTTAAAAATTTAATTGAGAATTTTTTCAATTTTTTCAATTTCGAATCATTTCCAATCTTTTATTTCGAATCGAAATTATATCAAATAACAGTCATTTGACTTTGCCTAAACCATCTTTTTTTAGATGAATCGTTAAAACTATTCAAAAAAATTCCTAAATTCGTAATTTGATATAATTTGACAGGATTTATCATTCAAAGTTATCCTCTTTCAACGTTGTCTTCTTAATTTCAATCTACAATCACCGTTTTTCTTCGATTCTCGTTTCCTGTTAAATTCTTTTAAAGTGATAAGCAATAAAATTTTTTGCCTGCGAATTGGTTTTTAATTTATTCTAATGTTATTCAAAGAATCATGTTGAAATTCTTGGCTTATTTAGCCTGAAACTTTTAAATTTATTAAATAATTTATTTAATTATATAATTATTATAAATAAAATGAAAAAAAAACGCAAGCATAGGCTTACAATATTTATCATTTGGTTCATCAATCAAGCTTTGTGCTGACAGATAATCCTTAATTTTAATTAGACAAGCGATTAGTTACAATCCAGAATAAGCTAAAAAATGATCAGAAAATTCATGAATGCATAGTTTTCTCAACAAACTTATATAATTAATTAAACAAAAAAGTTCATATAAAATAGCCAATTTCGATTTTGCAAAAGCATTTTCTCGAAAAACAAAATCAGCGAAGAAATCGAGAAATAAGAGCAAAATTTTCAATACTAAGTATTAAATATGAAAAATATGTCGCATATAATTTATCAAACAACTAAATTCATCACATAAAATTCCATTATAGTAAACTTGGTTAAAAAATTTCAACAACTCAAAAAAATTATAAATAGATTGCCAGTTCATTAATCAACCTAATAAACTTTCAAAATCATGATAAATTAGTTTTCCTAAGGGACACAAATAATAATAATTCGCTATAATTCTCAGAAAATTATTCTGCGTTTGAGTCTATTGGAGATTTAAAGATTTAAAGATCAATCTTAAATAGGTGGCCAATATACTCAAATATATCAAAATAACTTAGGAATTGTTCACATCATTCCTTTGCCAAGATTTAAGCCTAGATTAAGGCCTATTCATACAGAAAATTTTCTGTTGGTGACCATTAACGGATATAGCATTACAAAGAGCTTGTATAACTAGATAACTTAAAGGACAGCTAGCAGGCTATACATGCCAATCGTCCTCTTTCAGAAATGGCTTGAGTTAATTCAGGTGCCCCTCAAGGTAGTTGTCCGACCGTATCTTATTTTTTATTATATATTAATGACATCATCAAAGTTATATTAAGTTATATCAAAGTTATATTAAGTTCTAGCACTTATCTCCATGCTAATTCCTTTAAAATTTATCAATAAAAATACCAACTGGTTATATGAATATAAATTGGAAATTATCCAACCTTCTTAATCTATTAATGGCAAAATAAGCAGACGAGCCTCGAATATCTCAGATCTTGGCATAGCTGTGGATGAACGATTTCGACCTTCAGTATAGAACCTCAGTAAAGAAATCCTCAAGAATACCAAATCTTTTTTTTTGGTCGTTGAAAAATAGAAAATAAATAAAACTGAAAAACTTCTGACCAAAGATATAGAGCGTTCATTCAGCCTCTTCTCGAGTATAGTATAGTACAACCTGTTATTCTCTTACGTACCGCTAACCAAACAAATAAATTAAAGGACTCTAGAAATACCTTTTACGCCTTTCTCCTAATGACAATATTAATTGATTGCAACAACATAATCTAGACTTCCAGATCGGCGAATTAATCAAGATTTATACATATAAAATTCTATATGGTTATGACAAAAAATTTATGCTAATTTATATTGTAATTTTAGGTTTAGGTAAATTTGAATTCAACCCAACTAGATCTAATGGGCCAAAATTATTAAAGCCTATATGCAAAATTAAACCTAGAACTCATGACTTTTTCATTCGCATTAATTACTGGAATAAGCTGCCAAAGGACATTTGTGCATCATTCCCAGCTATTTTTAAAAAAACGATTAAGCATCATCCATGATATTATTTAAAAGCTCTACATTATTCAGGAAGTCTGGAATATTGATCTTTCAATATGTTCTATCTGCATTATTTCATTCAGTTCGATTTGTGTAATTTCCCTTTACATTGCTACCTTTTGATGAAATTCGTTTTGATTTTGTATTTTATATCGACATCTAATTTCTCTTAATTCAGTACCTCATTCGTTGTTGTTAATGAATTTAATGCAAGAATGCACATGCGATTATCGCTCTGCTTGATTGTTTTCAAATAACTATAAATATAATAAAACTATAATGCAATTGTGACTTGACCTTGGTCAAGTATCAAATATCAACGCTTTCAACATATGATTATCTGCAGTAAGAATTAATCTTAAATAAATCATAGAACCTATTCATAAGAGAGTTTATAAATAAATTTAAATTTACTTATTTATTATCTACAGTGACTTCGTATTTACCCATAGCAAACATGAATCAGTAGGCAATTTTTCAACGAATGGAAAGACCATTATTATCATTATAAAAAGTATAAAAATATTTTCCATATGCACATATATAATTTGAAAAATAAAATGAATCCGAGACGGAGTCCGCAGTAATCAAGAGATTTCCAATAAATAACTAAAAGTACTTGAATGTCGCCAGAAAATGGAAAATATAATTTAATTAACAACAATATGTGATACAAATAATAAAAAACTGAATTAAAAAATAAAAAAAAAGAAATATAAGATATTAAGCGACCCGTAAACGAATGAAAAGAGAGAGACCAAACGAGATGGAAATCGGTTCGGTAAGCAAACTAATGTTTTCATTTTGATTAACATTTAGGCGTTATGGAATCCATAATGTTCTGCGCCTTAATTTTATCTTTGCCTCTGAGAAATACTTTAATTAATTAACATTTTAGTTGATGGAAATATATTTATAGCTAATGTTTAAGGAATAAAGTTGTTCTAAAAAAATTCCCAGAATCAAATTTCAATTCTACTTTATAAAAAAGCTTGTCAATGCTCATTTATTTTTAATAGCAATTATCATTCTTATCAATATAAGAGTTAGTTCAAATAGTTCAAAAAGGTCCCGAAAGGCTACAAACACCAAAGTTATTACGTTAATTTCGATATTACGTTAATCGTGATATAGCAAGCCGGCAAACAGCAGATCGTGGTATTTGCGATTTCTTAATAGGCGACGGAATGATTCGATTTTTTGGCACTTTTCTCTCATTGGCGTCGAATGATGCCAAAGATGACTCACTTTTGAATGATTTCAAGTCAAACCTGGATAATGCCTGCTTCACCTATAAGAGAAAAATAATATGATAAAGAAAAATTTGAAAAAAGATTGTTTAAATCAAATTCGTTCTCGTATAACGCCAACATTTAGACGCCATGCATTTCTAACGACTTATAGCCAACATGATTAATAGCAATAATTGATCATAAAATAATGAAATAACAAATAAACGATGATTAGTTGCCAAACCTCGTTTAAGCCATTTGGTGAAGAGTTGACAATATTATTTAATGAAGACTCTAAGGAGTGAACATATTATGAGAAAAAATCCCCTGAATTAAATTCAAATTCTATTTCATAAAAAAAGCTTGTGAATGCTCATTTATCTTTAATAGCAATTATCACTAACAATATTATTTATAATATCATTTATATGAGATTTATAAAAATTGGTTCAAAAAAATTTTGAATGGTTCCACATGCCAAAAAGCACTATAATCTAAAAGAATATCTGCTAAAGGAATAAGTACATGGCTCTGATCCTCTCAAGATCGGAGAAAAGATTCCACGAAAAACTGTAAAGAGGCCTGTAGGTATGCGGAACTCCCTATCTAAGGAAATAAGCAAGTGTCGACCAGTTAACAAGATATCGTGGTAGTTAGAAAGAAACAGAAATAGTGATGGACATGGCAACACCAAATAGGTCAAAGTGGTGTTAGGAGTTGTAGTTCTCAAACTGGAAAAATGGCCCAACAGATTCTAGAAACGACATCATAAATCTCTGCCCAGAACAGGTACTGCTAGAGACAACTGAGATATTGTGCAGAAGCCTCAAGCTCCAAGGCCTCTAGTAGAGGAACAGAGGTTCAAAATGATCCATGCCACTCACGGAAGAAAAGGCCTTGTACATATATTTATACATATATATATATATATATATATATATATAATATATAAATGAAATATGAATACTTTTAATTTTTTCATCGCCAAATCCGCATTGAGGTCCGCAGACTTTGACAAATTTGACTGCGGATGCAAGACTGCCGCATCCAATCCTGCAAAATCAATGAACCCTATCATAACGAGACGTTCACCATTTTGTACAAACCCAGCCTTGCTGCATCCAATTTCCATTCTACTACCATCAATCGTTTCACTCGACAATCTGAAGATACAATAATTCAAAAAATTATATTACGAAAATAAAAAATAATAAGAAATAAAACGAAGGAACATGGAAAATTATGATGCAAAATGGATTTCGCCACGTATCAACAAAAGGTTGAGCACTCCTTATTTTATATATAAACTGACCATGAAAATGGACTCTTAAGCTATCGATTTAGAGCCTATATAAAGAGATTATTGTTGATTTTAGTGCGATAATTTTAACTTTTAGTCCGTGAGTGTGGCAATATAATTTTCCTTATTTTTCATTAAGCCAGTGTCTGACATCAAACAATTCTATAATTATTATTCAATTCAGTTATCAAATCAACCTTTACAACACTACAACGCTTTTTAATATTATTGATTGTGTTATTTTACGTCATATTATTGAATTGAATAAATCTGTAATATAATTAGATCTTCGACCAACAATAGACAAGTAAGTTTCAGTTCTAAAATTTGTATTTTGCCCGAGAGATTAATAATCTTTTAAAACTCTTTTTTCCATAAAAACTGAACATAGAACGACTGATGAATAAAATAAATAAATAAAATAAATAAATAAAAATAAATGAATAATAATAAAATTTTCCCATTTTTCCGAAAATATTTTCACACTTCATTCGGAATGATTAACTCGTTGAAACGCAGAATTTATAAAATTTTTTGAGCTTTTCGAAGCAAAAATTTATGGGCCAGAATCTAAAGATTATCAGCCAAAATGAAATAGAAAAATTTTCCAGCCAACTGAAAAAAACAAACTCTCTAGACTGAATTTGACGCGAATAGGCAGAAATTACTTTCTTCAAGATGGATCGCATTAGAAAGGTCAAACAAATTTTTGCCCTATTCAAGCATTATTTAGAACGCCCCAAACATTGAGGTTCGATTCCTCGCCAGTAGATGAATTTGTCATTGAAAAATCTAATGATGACGACACTTCCGCATTTTGACCTCCAAGTAATTTCGGGGCAAAATCTTCTAACCATAGTAACAACCAGGAGTTAGCATAGCTAACTGCTGAGAGCTAACTACTTATTATCTCTTGGTAAGCCGCTTCTTAAAGTAGCTCCAGTGGTTAATTATATCAGATCTATCACTGGAGATGTAAGACAACTGTTCTCACTGTCAACATCATTAATTAAAAGGAATCTGTTTGGCTCACATGTCACCATCCAAACTGCTTGTCACCTTTTGTACTATGAATTTTTTGCGCATATTCTCTGCATTTTTATAAATTTCCATCAATTCATCGATCTGCTGACAGTGCGTCTTCATTAACGGTTGCTCACACAAAGTCGATCTGATGCTGCAAAAAAATTTAATTTATATTTTTAAATTTAGAGGCCAGCGAATTTTAATAAAACGAATTATAAAGATATTTCTAAAATCTTCGGAAGATACTGGGGATAAAAAGATAAGGTAAAAAAAGAAAAAAACTTTTATCAAATTTAATCAATTTTGGATGATTTTTTGAAGCGATTTTTTATTAAAAAAAATATTAAAACTATAAAAGAAACAGACATAAAATCTTAAAGTCAAGCTGTGGTGAAATTGTAAAAATACAAAACCTTGAAATTTCTTGTCGTTCTTCAATATCCTCGCTCGAACTTCGGCTCACATAACCTCCATCATCATCTGACAATTTTGGAGTATTTGTCTCATTAGTATGTTTTTTAGAATATGTGAATAGTCGATTCAATAGTGCTACAACTGATTCAGCCATAAATCTTAAAAGCACATTTTTAAGCTAAAAATTAAATTAAAAAGTACTACTACAGTAAATTATGAGCGATGAAGGAATTAATGTGAAAAAAAATAGGAAATCAATAGTATTAACAAAGATTTTGAATGATTTATTGAATGATCTTTGAATGATCTTTCGTAAATACGAAAGACGGGAATGGTATAATACTTTGATTGAAGTCAACCATGATAGGTTCGAATCCCGCTTCTTAATAAGAGAATATGAGTAAACCTGTCATCAAAAGTAAAATCTGGGTGGTACTAATGGCCCATTTCCACTTCTATCTCCAAGTGGTTACCTGCGAAGCCAAGCCATCTCATCCTAACATCCAGTTATGCCAGACGAACCAAAAATGGCAAGTGCTGTTAGAAGAAATATGCATCATTAGTTACATAAAAATAAACACATGTATTTAACAACTAAATTTAGTCAAAATTACGGAGAAAAGTAACCTCTCATTTTGTTTGTAATGCGTCATATCTTCATCGATCTGAAGCTGACTAAAGGAATCACGCAAAACCTTAATAAGTTTACGAATGTTGAATATCCGTACATGCTGGTAGGTCGTAATTTCAACAATCTCTTGCAACATTGTTGCAAATTCACAGTCAACAGGAAGTGATTGATTAATTGATTCAAGAACTGAACATTGTTCCGAATGTAGTTGTGTTTGCCGAAAATCATCAATTGATGAATTGAATACATTTTCAAACATTTTTATTAGACGCATAAATGATTCCAGCTCATGCCTAAAAATCTTATTAGTAGCGTTACTGTCGATGAGGATATTCATGTTGATTTTGTCTCGATTAATGAGCAAATTTTGTTGATTCGTAACCCAAAAAACTGCATTAATTTCTGTTTTCTGCGGAACTGAGATATTATCACCAAGAAAAACTACAAAAGAGGCCCATAGCTGAGCACTTTCAGCTACGAAAAGATGTCCACAAACAATAGCTGATTCCACTGAGAAACAAACCAGTGAATCAATACGTATTCTGCCACCAAGGATTAATAAACTTCCGACAATTTTTAGGTTGTTGCATTCGAGAATTTCTGCGCCACAGCGAACAAATTTCGAATCAATTTCAAACAAATTAATACGTTTTAACGTACCAGCAACATAAACATCGTCACTGTTTAGTTCGAGTTTAGAAATGCGATTGGCAAAACCTTCGAATCGAATAACTTTTGCGAAAAATGCGCAATCGCAAACAATGTCATGTCCTGACAATGTTCCCCGAATAACAATTTCATCTGCAGTCGCTGTTAATGATCTGCATTCGGTTGAAGTTCCGCAAAATATGATATATGCAGCCTCCATAGCAATATTTCTTGAATTCTTGATAGTTGCCATTGGGCAATAATCTATACGTTTTCTGGCGTAGATTTCTAAAAAGTCAAAATTACTCAAATGACCATCAAGCAAAAGATCGCCACATTCAATACATAGCTCGCTTTTTGCCGTCATTCCTGTAAGCTCACCAACAATATGTACACTTCCACTATTGCACTTTAGGTTTATCCTTGGTTCAACTATTAAAATACCGCTGAAGTGAACTTCATCTGCATATACTGTAAGTGTTTTTGATTCATCAACTGCATTAATTTTCGAGCAATTTTTGGGAATAAATTTTATTGAATTACAAAGAAATTCGAGAATCTGTATTTGATTGATTAAAAATGAAATCGTTTCGCTGCTAGCATTAAATGATCGACGACAAATTATCGAACCTGGGCCAAGAATTCGTATATTTTTCAATGACTCTTCGCATATAATCGATTCACAGTTCAGTTCACCATAAATTTTAAATGTCAAATATTTGCATGTGCCAGTTAGTCGTAGTTGATTAGAACAAATATTACTACCCTTTCTAATTATTATTTCCGTTTCGTAAGATGGACCGAGAGTTAACTCAAGATTATCAACAATAAACTGTGATTCAAAAATAATAACTTCACGAGCAGCTAAAGCCAAATTTCCAACATCATTTTTAACATCACTACTTATAAGAAGTTCGGCTTGTGCATTAATACGAATCTGGTGGTTTAATCCAAACCTTTTCATAACATTAAATAACTTTGATTCTGACAATTCAAGATTCTCTTTCTCTTCAGTTCTGCTATTATTCATTTTTGAACATTCATTACTTACTGATAAAAGTTTTATACTTTTTGTCGATAAATATTCATCAGCTTTTGAGAAATTCGATAATTGTATATTCATCGAATCAACAGCAAATATTCGATTCTTATTCTCAAGCTTACCGTTTCCATTTATATCAATTTTATTAGCGGAGAAAACTGACTCGTTTTTGAAATAATTTTCCACGAAAACGCGAACATTTTTCATATGATTCTGCAATTTACCTTCATTCGCTAAACGTCCCCAATTAATAAGAGTATCCAAAACTAAATGCACCATCTCACCATGAAATCGAACGTGACCCTCATGAAACCAAGTAGTAGCGCATAAAATTGCTTCTGGATAATTATCTTTAGAGCATGAATCGATTAATGAGGCACGCATTGTATGCAGATATCCTGCGGAAATCATTGTTCGATAATCAGCATTTATAATCGATTCTATACCACTTAATAAAGCATAAGATGCACTATTGAATCGCACTGACAAGAAAGGAGCAATTATAGCTTCAGCCTTCAGTTGACCTTCTAAAATAAATGCAGGAAATGGATGCGGAACACTGGATGGCACTTCGTAAAGTTCGCTTTTGCCTTTCAATATTAATGGGCCACTGAGTATTTCAAGTTGGCCACCTAAAGTAAAGCAAGATTCATTCAGGTAAGGAATAGTGATTTCCATATGATTCACTCGAATATAACCATCAATTCGAACTTTTTTTGCTGCTTTGATAATACAGTTTCCGGCAAAAAATCGTCCACAACAATCTTCTTCTGAATCGTCGTAAATCGACAGATTTAACGTGTGTTTAGCCATAATTATCGCATCTTCAGACTGTTCACAGCAAGCCAAATTTAACGTAAGGTTGCCTTCAGAATGCCAATTACTATTATTCCTGAAAGCACCCGCAATAATAGTTCCTCGGACTTTGATATTCACCCCACCTGTAGATGTAGTCTTCATTTCTTTTCTTACATATGCCAAAATATTTTCAGCAGCTAAATAACCAGCTATGGAACAATATCCTTCGATAAATAATTTCATTATTCCAACTATCATCTCTGCAGATGGAAATATGTTCAGATAAGCTTTTAGTTTCAAATTATTCGACGCATTCACCCTCCAAAAACCATTACAGTTGAAAGTCATAGCATCGACATCAGCAATCTCATCGACTAATACTTTTCCAGTTGGTAAAAGCAATAAATTTTCTCCTAAAGATGCTTTTAATGAACCGACTTGCCACGTTCCTAAAAAATTATATCGATTATTTGAATTAATCCAAAACATAGTTAACATCAACAGAGGAAGAAACGAATTGGTTTATCTAATTTTTAATCAGTTGCTGGAGGTATAATGGCTTAGTAGATTGTTGCTCTTAGCTTAGAACGCCGATGTTGAGGTTTTATTCCAGGTACGAGCAAACTCATCTTTCAAAAATCCGAATAAAGCTGGTGATCCAGATGTTTCTACCGCCAAGTTACTCCCTGGTGAAATCTGCTTCGACAAGCCATATACTTTGCCAAATATGGTGGAAAATTCAAAAAACAAGCTGATCAAGAAAAATGAAAGCATTTTACCTCCAAGATGACAGCTTTCTTCAATGTTGCAACTTAACAAATCAACTTCAATGAATGAATTTTTCAGAAACGTTGCTGATTGAAATTCCATTTTAATTTCATCACCAACTGACCAAATTCCAGCACAAACGAATGACACCGCTTTAATCTGAAAATTATTTGCTACTTTTTTCAGTAATATTACCACTTTTTTTATAAATGCTATTAACATACTTATTTTCTTAGAAAATTCTGTAGATCTTAATCTTATAATGATGGAAAAATACATGTGCACAATGTTTTTGACTGATGATTCCTTCCTCTATTGTAACAACATTTCCTGCACAACTGATTTCAATATTATGATGCTTTACTTGACCTGTAAAGAAGATACTTGTGGCATTAAATTTTTTTAAATTGAAGTTTATGGTAATAAAAAGGAAGATCTTAAAAAAACAAATGATATAATGGGTTAGCTCAAAATAAGCCAACCTATTACCTAAGTGAACCGTTAATGAAAGCAATCTGTAGAGAAAATTTTAGAAATATTGAAGATTGCTGGATGAAAAGTCTTTTATAGATTATCAAAAATTGCCTTCTAAAAAGACATCGCCTCCGACTGCTAGAGTAACAAAACCGCTGGCCCAAATTGAATCTTCTTCACATTTGGCGAATCCACGAACTGTCAAGAATAAGTTTGAAGCTCGAAACTGCGCACAATCCGCACAATCCCGACCAACCTAAGGAAAATTATTGGTGCAACATTTCTACTGAGAACGAAATCAGTAATATGTTTAAATTTCTTATAAACTTCAAAGCTAAGAAAGATATAATTAACCCGGTGATAAAGATATATATTATCATTTGTTTAAAGTTATAGTTGCTCTGAAAAAAAAATTATTAGAAAATTTAGTTAAAAAATTAAAAAAATTAGCGCAACAGTTGCGTTGCACCAGCTCATCAAACACCAATGATCAGCAATTTTTAAGTATCCTTTCTCTGAAATATTGAATGAAGTGAACAAATAGCTGCTGATTTAATGAAAATTTTATAAAAAAAAAGGACAAAATAATTACACTTGCAACAATTAAGGCTGATTTAATGGTTCCACGTCGCCATTCATGAGTACTCATTAGTGCTTGAATTAAAGTAATTTTTTCTCGCATTTTGTTCCTCAGCTCTGTAATTCTCATTTCTTCATATTTCATTGCAGCTATTTTCCGTGGATTACAAACTTTTAGCTGATCCTAAAATAACAAATGCCAGCAATAAAATGTTAAAATTCTTCAAGTATTAACCAAACTAGTAAAAAGAAATTTGAATCTTCAAGCTCCAGTAAGCCTTATATTACCTTAAAATTATATTACCTCAGTATCCTTTCGAACTGTGCTTCATCGTGTTCACAACTGCCAAATCCCAGATTTTATGCACTGCGAACTTTGACGGGGCATTAAGGAAACATAAGAAATATTGCGCTTGAACGGATTAAAGCAGCAAAAATGGGTTTACGATATCGCTACTGGTGGACTATGGCATATAACAAGGTTATAGGAAAATTCAAGAAGTATTTAACGGAGTTTAAAGAGGCTTTTCACAAAATAAGACTTCTAAGAGAGGCTTCTTTTATATGAAAGGGTTCCAACGAGATCGGGCCGAAATTTTTCAGTTTGAGGCCACAGTTGTCAGTCTTACGCATATAAATATGCATCCACATTAGTCGCAATACTTTGGAAATTACTGATTCTACTGAACAACACTTCCATGAAATTAATAATTTAAGGAAACAATAAATGCATTAAATTATTCCTAAAGCTATTTATTATTTACTAACAAGCTTGGGATGGTTGTTATTTATTTATGGCATAACTCACTCCAATAGAATCGTTTGGATCGACACCGTTCTCTAGTAGCTGCGCTACAGCATCTGGATCCTGACTCACTATTGCTGAAATCAATGTGCTGCTTGTTGGTAAGGAATCTGATATGTCACTAACTACGCCTTTGATCTGTTTCAGCGCTGCGTACCTGCAAATCATTGGAAATTACCAAAAAAGCGCTGGATATTTTGCATAGCAACATCCAGTTATCATTAATTGAAAAATACTCTCTTACCCTCTAACAGCACTATCTATATGACCATCCTTGAGAGATAAAATACTTCCACCGATCCGAAATTCTAGTTCACTTTTTGAGCTGATTCGACCAAAATTAGCGAGATTACCTGATAAATGGAATAGTAGGACATCAACATTTCTATCAAGCGATTTGTTCGTCTGAAAATTACAGAGATAAAACAGAACTGAAACAGAACTATAATTAAAAAACATTTACCAATAAACAACGAATTCTATTCGTACATCATTAATGGATTTCATGATTGCTTTTCTTCATGTAAAACAAGAGGCAAACAATCATGAGATTAATGGCACTACAGAACACTCACAAAATATAAAAGAACCGGGTTTTATGAAGCAACAATCAGCAAAGTTGTGTTTATCTTTGTTCATACCACAGAGAGAAGTAGAATAGCTGAATGCTTATTGCCCAGATTATCTCAATCATCAAGCTTCAGAATCTGCCTCCACAGGAATGAATCCACCATTAAAGGATCAAAGTGGTGCTAAGGACCTGTATACTTATTTTCAAACGAAGTGACTGGCTGATAAAAATTCTTTGTACTTATAGCGAATGGAGAAAGCCTAACTAGAAATGAAAAATGCTAACCATTTCCTTATTTACGATTATCATAATGGATTAGAAAAAATTCGTAAAATTAACCGATTTATCCTTTGCTTTCAATGAACCTATTACTGCATCAACTCCTAGATGCAAAACTGATGATTCAACATTAACAGTCATAATCTTTGAATCTTCATTATAGCCACTTATACGACCGTCGATTTGTACGTGACGTGAAAATATCTAAATTTTATTTTTGTTACTGTTGCCCAATGGTTGTTAATTTTTCTCTTGATTTAAACGCACTGATATGAATTTTATCAAATGATACCCGGATTTTTGAACAGAAATAAATAGCTTCCGGTTGTATAAAAACGTGTTGGGCGCTTATTGTCACAGAGTTAGCTTGTAATTTCGCATTCGTATGTAAAGCACCAACGGTTGATTCGAAAGATACTTTCATCGCTTTTATTCGACCGCTAATCTAAAAAGATAAATAAATTAATTGAAATAAAAAATCGAATTCCCTGTTGAATTTATCCTTTACTATAATTGATCAATTGATCTGACCAATTTTCCTTGGAGAAAAAAGAATACAAACCATGGACCATAAATATTAGCTAATTTTAGCTGATAATAGTCTAAAGATTCATAACGATTCATAAAAAGTGAAACCTTTTATCATTTATTATCTAAGGATCATGGTCCATTTTAACATCAATTGATTTTGAAAAAGCTTTTCGTGAGATTTTTGAATTCCAAGCGTAATCCACAGCTGATTTTAGATCATGAATTGATTAAATCGAAATTTCCGTCAGAAATTTGAAAAATATTTTACCTCTAAATTAGGTCCAGCAACTCCAATGTGCTCCAGCTGTGTGCTCATATCGCGGACACACGTTTTCAAATCGCCATCACATCCCGAAGTATTAATATAAACGCTAACGTCAGGTTTTCTTTGCAACTATAATTTCACGGAGATCGCTTCGATTTAATCGGCAGATTTTTCAGAAACAATTGGTAAGTTAGAACTAAGTGGTGAGTTCTAATTAGATTGATGAATCTAGTTTTATATATATATATATATATATATATACATATATTGATGAATCTGAATGCCAGCGAACACTTTGCAAGTGTTGTTATCGAATTGAGAAGACATTAACTGATTCGAATTGTGAGTGGATGCATTTCAAGAGATCAAAAAGTTCCTGTTTATTAAACTATATCTTCGCCACCAAATGCGAAAAATAGGTCTACTTACGTTGTGCTGAACAGTAATCTTGTATTGTTGTTGCAGTCTTTGTACCGAAATTGTCAAACCACCTGACATACGTGCATGGATTATTGGCCATTTTGTCGATTGATCATATGGTACTATTACCTGAATTTAATATTTGCTTATAAATTTCGTAAAAATAAAAAAATCATTATTTGCAATGGGAAAAATAACTTTAAACGATAGTTCGTTAAATATTGCGTGATTCGAAACTTGATAGTTCAATTTTTGTCGTTTCTTTCTCGGATAAAGATAGCGCCTAAGGCTCATTATTTGCGCTGATGTAGAATAAAAAACTGATACTTTGATAAAGTTAAGGAATTGAGAAAAATCATATGATATAACAATAAACCCGAATAAACAATGTTAATGCGCGAGATAAATTAGTAAAGGAAAATGGAAAATGTTTAACGTTTTTTCATTTCTCTTGCTCACAAACATACTTTAATTTTTCGTTCCTCCTCGTAAACTTGAACATTAGGTTTCTTTCCTCGTTCAACCTTCAAAAACAATTGACCAGTATCCTTTGATAACATCTAAAAATATTAAAGAAAATCAAAAAATTCGATATTTCATCCAAATATTCAACCAAGCAAAGCATATAATTTTACTATCTATAATGTATCAGAAACAATAATAATAGAAGAAATCTGCTAAAACAGGATTAATTCATTAATACCAGGATATAATTTAAAAGAAATTTGATAAAACGCAATTAATTTTGTTCATCACTTATATCACTTCATTGATGTTGATGTATATTTCCCATTTTGCCAGATAATATTCATTTTATTTAATAACCAGTATTCGCCTAGTGATATATTGAAATATGGAAAAATGAAGATTAAAATTATCAAAGATTTCGCTCTGCTTTCATTTTTTTCTCCGAAATAACCAATATTACTCCGTATTCCAACAGTAAACCTATCTTCAAAACACGTCATTTCATGTTAAGTGTTTAAATCAGATGGTACCGGAACATAATTTTTTTCAGATAATCGTAAGTAAGTGGTTACCGCTTTTTATTTCATGCCAAGCTCGCTCCTCAGTTAGTATCAATTAGAAATTTTAAAGGTAGAAATTCAGGTGGCTCCTCAGCATGGGAGAATTATATCACCATATACCAAAACCAACAAATCAATGAGAGGTCGTGAAATTAGCCCGTCAAATTAGTAATATTAGTAATACAATAACTTTTCGCATGAACTAATTAATTCTGAAACAATTCTGACAACTGCAGTGATTGCAATTACTTTTAATAACTTAAAAACAAACGAGCGCATGTCGATTAAATTCAAGAACTTGGGAAGGTATGAGAAAAAGTATTGTGTTGTGTGAATCTTCCAGTAGGAGAAAGGCGTAAATGAAACTCATCATAAAAAGATCTTTTATCCGAATTTTTAAAAAATAAACATCTATTTAGAGATAAATAAATGAGCAGTATAGTATAGTCGAATGACTATTGCTCAGACTATCGTCATCTCCAGCGATACTGAAGATTCTGACCGCTGACAGGAGTAAATCTGCCATGGAAAAATCCAATTTCATCGTACAGTAGAGGGAAGTGGTGATCGCTGATTATTCTTTTTTAGCATCTTAAATGAATTATATATCCATCTGATGAATCAAAAAAAGTAATAAATATGCTCAGAACAATTAAAAATAGAATTTGAATAGAAAAGCAAAATTTGATAAATTACTGCAAAAATTTTTCATCTGCTGAAAAATGATTGGCAAAATGAACATAATGAAACATTTCCATAAGAAGAAACGTGTTTCTTTTGCCACATGAATAAGTACCACTTTTTTATTCCTGCTGAGTGACTGATTAATTTAAGACACCGATCACTAAAAAGGGGAGGTTAAATGCCATATTTGCTAAAAAATTTGAGATTAAAATTGAATGATGTAATACCAATACTTATCAAGACTAAACGTTTATGAAAACGATATTAAAAAGACAAGTGCGCTGAAAAAATTTAGAACTAAGCTCAGTAATTTTAAAAAAAAATATGAAAAACTGAAAAAGACATTTTGTGAAATATGAAAACAGAAAGCAAGCAATAGAACAGACAATAAGGAATGGTCAATAATATATGCTTCGACTAATGTAAGGTATCAGGCACTCCGGTTTGTGTCTCTTAACGTAAGGCATGATGGACTCCCTTGACCTTCTGTTAAAAGCCAAGTCCAGGAGATGAAAACCTAGAATTACTTCTACTACCAAGTGTTCTCGAAGTCAGTGAGGCCTGCCAGTTGAGAAATGGTGAGTGTTGCTGAAAGAAGAAAATAATTAAAGATAAAATTTGCGTTGAGTTTAACAATTTCTCAAGTTCGCCATACTGAATTATTTACTTATTTGAATCTTTTTTAATTTATGTTAATTCGATTAAAATATTTCATTTCATACAAATAAAGAAAAAATATTCCGATCATCCCTCGTCAATTCACCAATAAAATTTTTCCTCTTTTTTTTCATCGATTAATTCATAAATTTATACAATTATAACTCCAAAAATAGTACAACAGAAATTATAGGGAGAATAGGGAGAATTAAGATAGTAACAATATTTTTATTCATCAAAGTTTATAACCTATCTCCGATAGAAGTGAACTTTCATAAAAAGTCGTATTGCTGTTTGCGACCAATTTATTTCGAGTAACTGCCTAGTGAAATTTTTCATCGTACTAAGGGTTAGTGGAGTCAGCCTAACCAGAAATAGTGAACACTAATAGCTTATTAACCATACTTATCCTATCGTTGTTTTTTCATACTTTACACGCTTGCCCACCTTTTTAAAAATTTTTAATCATCTGCAGCCTTTAATCTTGAAAATTTTTAAATTTATTCAATAGACTTATTTAAACTTCTATTTGATAGTCAGAAAAATTTTTTAAATTTCACGATTAAGTGAAGAGATACTGTTGTTGTTGAAATTCCCTTCTCACTTGGAACTAATTTAAACAATATTTTTAAATTTTTAATAAAGAGATAAATAAGCATGTTCAGAAAACTTGACTCCTTGAGCATTATCACTATCACTAAAAGTTATCACGATAAACTGGACGACCGCCCACTCTGCTACCCTACCCCACATCCATAACTAACCAATACCATGCCCAGAATCAAGTTTAAAAAAACGCATTAAATATAAAAGATTGGTTTATCGAATATGTCACCAAATAAGGTCAAGTTACACTAGAATTTCTCATTTTTTTTATAAAACCATTTTTCTGAAAATCTATCAACGATCACAAAACGAATTTTTTTGTATGCATAAAATGTCGAAGACTTTTTTATTGCTTAAATTTTATTTCACTCTCAGCATTACAGTAGTTTTTCTTCAAAAAAAAGAAAAAATTACAAATTTGCTATGATCCGAGATTAATGGAAAAAATTCCACACCCAAAAGATTTATTATTAATAAATTTAAAGATATAAAAAAAACCATTTATCATTAATTTGTACCATTTCTGGTTAAGCTTGCTCTGTTGGCTCAAAAATTTGATTTAAGAATTTTGCCAAGAAGAAGATAAAAGTACAGGCAGGTCACCAACATCTAGGTTTACTAATGGTAAAGAACTCTTTTTCTTGCATCAACCACGCAATTATATATATATATATAATATATATATATATGTATATATATACAAGTAAGGAAAATTTTTGGGTGCTCATCTGCTTGAAACTAGTCGTGTTTTTTCTACAAACATTTATTTGGCAATAATTATTACAAAAATATTTTTTTAACGAAATTGCAAAAATATATAAAAACTAAATTATAGTGACAAATTAAAATACTTACTTATAATTATTAAAGTGATTGCTGTGCCTAATGTGTTGCAGAATTTTTAAATCGGGTATAAAGTTGTTTAATTTTTTCATTAGTATAACATGAAATTTTAAATAGTATAAGTATCTGGAAACTTTCTTTGACCCCAGGTGATTTCACCAAATTGAGAAACAGATTTATTCCTGCGGGCAATCGAACCTCAGCACCGACGCTCCCAATTTAGCAACAACTCACTAAGCTATTCTATCCATAGTCATTGATTTATACGTATATATTTACAGAGACGCACATTAGTTTAGATTGCAACTGTAATTTCATTCAGTGACAGAAATTTTATCGATAAGATCATACGAAGTGTAGAATTACTCGAAATACTTTAAAGTATAAAGTTTCGATTACATATCAAAATGAAAATGGTAAATGTATTCCTTTTGCCAGGAAACTTACTGAACGGAAGAAGGTAAAAATTATTTTTAATGTCCTTAAGGCTCTCACAAAAAACCAGCAATTTCCATTAATTGTTTTTTTCACAGAATTCATTCAAATCACTTTTTTTTTAAAATCAGCTTTCATCTCTCTCTATAACTTTTGGAAAAATTTGACCTTGAAGAATCACAAATTAGTAAATTTAAAAAAAAATTAGGCTGAATAAGCCGAAGTTCAATAAATATGCAAATATTCGCCAGAACTGTGTTTTTAAATGGAACTACTCCGTACTGCAGTACAAACCAAACTAGGTTTAGAAAATCACCGTATAAAGGAAAACTCACTAAAACCTAGAATGCATTTTCTATTCTCAATTTTTTGTGACAAAAATATTTATAAAAAGAGATGGAACAATCTGAAGAGCAAATTTCTTTCACTTTAGTGGAAAATATCAAAGCGCGCAGTGAGCAACATTAATACAATGTTTAGCATTAATGCTTTGCTAAAGATATCATTAATTCAACCTTTACCCCAAGAGAGTAGATCTGCAATTTAAGATCAGGCTAATGCTGGCGACTCGCCTGTGGTTCTCTCCTCAAGCAACTTCATGCCGAAGTGGTCAAATCCTATTAGTCAGTGAAGCAAGCTAAAAGAAGTAAGAACAATGTAGATCATCAAACCAAATCAAAATAACTTTCACAGATGACTAAAAGGTCAAACAGATGACAAAATAATAGATTCTGTAACTCCTGTTCAGATTTTCTATCTCAAAATATACGAACCGGATAGCTGCCAATTTCATTACTTGCTTTTTATCTTGCCCTCAGAAGCTTTCTTTCTGACAGCATTAATGGTTTTTGGCTGATTTCTCCGAATTTCGAAAAAGTTTGAGAATTTCATGAAGCCTTTATCAAAGGGTAAAGAATTTAACCTATGTTGCTCGACGTGCAGCCAAAATAAAAAAATCACTTCTAAAAATAAAATCATAATAAAATAAAGGAAGAAAAATTCTAAAAAGTTAATTAAAATACAACTAAATAAACGAAAATAAAAACATAAACTCGAAAAAAAACATTTTAGCAATAAATAATTTTGATGAATTTCTCGATGAAAGTAAAATGATTTTTTCAAGAAATTTTTACACAAAAGTTCCAATATTCTTTAATTATTCACCGATTTTTTTCAATTTAATTCGTTCGTTTATTTTATAAAACTATCTTATTTATTTATTTTAATTTTAAAATTTTCCAAATTTTCCAAAAGGAGTAAATAAATAAAACAACAATGGATAAATAAATAAATGACTTTCGCAAACG